GATCTTGGGAGAGAATATTCTGAGCAGCAAACACTAAGAATCCGGTCCGCTTGATAATTATATTCTCTACAATAACATAAATTATCATGCTGTTTTCTATTTTAAAAAGTAAATCTCACCTCATTTGATAACATGTTATATCCTCTGCAAACTTAGAAATGCTCAATAAACAAGGAGGCTCTATAGCCAAAGAAAGATGCTTGTATTACATCGACTCTCACTTTTTAAAATGTCAGTGGTCAACAGGGCCAGAGCATGACACTAAGCCCACTCTCAAGGTGGAATGAATTACATTTGCATGAACCTCTCAGGATAAAGTCGCCCTCTAATAAGGCTTCCTTCCCTCTCCTCTGCCTTCTCCCTCCTCCCACACCTATCCTCAAACCACACACACACATTGCCCAAGCCCTTAACACAAGGCCTCAGAGGGTCCCGACGGACAGGGTCAAGCAGGAGGGACACCACTCTGAGAAGTCAATATTTCTCACCCTGTTTAATACCACATCCTCAGGGCGGGGCAGACCAGGGACCCCAGGATGGCGGTGAGACAGCTCTGGCTTAGAGGCAAGGAAGAGCCACAGTTTAATCAGATAAACCAGAGAAAACCTTCAGCCTGGGATGAGAAGCAAAATTAATGTAAAAAGCTAGTGTTGTAAACCGTATTAATCATTTTAAAAGCCATTCTCTAGGGAATTTAGCAGAGAAATTAATGCAAGAGAGCTCTAAACAAAACATTTGCCTGAACCACATCGATTTGCTAAACCTACACTTGGAATCTCTTTGGAAACAAGGTAGGCAAAATGTGAATTTAAGAGAAAAGCAAACCTGTTTCCTGACCCTTGAAATATGATGCTTTGGTTGACAATTTATAGCAGAACTGAACTCCACCTTTGTAAAATCACCTTTGAACGCATTTGGACTGGAATAGACCCACTTGGATTCCCAAAACTGTCAGAGGAGAACAAAACCCAAATAGCAGGGTATCCTCTGAGTTTCTCGGTTTCCCAGGAGCTGCCAATCTCTCTTAAGAGAGGACACTGCCTCCTCTCTGCTCCCGTGAGCCACCACAATCACAGCCACAATCCTAGAACTCTGCCCTTCCCCAAAGGGTTGACAATGACAACCTCCTATGTGCACACATTGGGACATCAGCACGTGGCCTGGGCCAGGCAGTCACACACCTGTCTCACACAGCACTTTCCCAAAGTCCCTGTTATTCAGTCTAAATAATACCAGGTGTGGGACATCAAAAGTACACGCAGCACACCTACGGCTGTGCCACACTGAGGCTAGCTCCTTCTCAGCCTCTGTTCTGTTCCACAAGGGTTCCAAAAATCCTTGGCATCCAGTCACACCGAGGGTCACTGTAAAACCACAGTTATTATTCCGTATTAAATGCCCACTGGTAAGTGGCATGGTGTCATGGAAATGTGATGGTCACTCCAGGAGACACAGAAGCACAGAGAGGCTACCACCAATCATCTCCCAGAAGGAGGAAATAAAGACAGAAGTGCCAGGGAGGGAGAGGAAAGAAGAGTGGGAAGGAACAAGGGGAGGGGAAAAGGAGCAGATGGTCACTAGTCGGGCTTGTGCCTGCCTCGATGGGGCTGTTCACTACTCCAGTTAACCTCACTTTCACCCCAGGTATAAAAGTCACTCTGCGCCTCACGTTTGACGTATCAACACAGAAGTTATTATTATTTGCTCCATATCCAAACTGCTCATCCTACCTGTCACACAGGAGCAACAAGATAAATAGCAATTTCTCTGTTCCTCACCTGAGCCTCACCTATTGACAGTTCCTGAGACTTTGCTCTTTCCTCTACACCTTGCTGTGTGGGTGTCTATAAAGTTGCGGGCTCAACATAAAGAATCTCATATCCATCTCCATCTTCATCAAGGGGTGGCTTTGTGTTGCATACCTATAGAGGTATTATACAGGTGTCTGGCTTCATACTAAGCAATTTTAAAGCAATCAATTCCTCAAGTTTGGAAGGCCACTAGCCCTGCCTCTTACTAATAGAGTGATCTTGCAAATTTTACCCAAATTTGGGTATTAAGTACATCTTTACATTTTTCTCATTGATGAGAAACAGAATTTCATTGATCTACAATGCCTTTGATTATTGAATACATCATTATTTTATATACCACTAAGAAAGAAAAAAAATACTTCAATTAAACTATGACAAAATTTTAAAGTGCCATAAATTGTAAGATGCATCGTGACTTTAGAGATAGTAAGACATTTATAGGGAACTTATGAAACCCAAAAACATATACCTGTATTCCCAGAATCTCACCAACATTACTTTGAGAAATACTGACTTAGGCTTCATCTCTAAACCCTGTTAACATCACCCAGACATCAGGGATATTGTAGAAATTGGTGAGATCACATCAAGAAAACATTTTCAGTTATTAGAAGGAAACAAAGACCCTATTCCTCAGAGGAATTATTTTAACAGTTTATTAAATGCCACTTATGTATGGTAGAATGACACCTTAGGAAAAAAAGGTAAACCTAAAATCATCAACTGTGTTTTTCAGGGAACTAAGGGCATTCACTTTTAGTAATTAACTGCTATGTTCTAACAATGTGTTAGCATTTTACATACATTACTTCCTTGTGATATTATCCACATCTTCACAATACATTTGTCATTTTAACACATTTTCCTGTTTGGTCTAAGTATTTTTCACTCAGTACGTGTTCCAAACATATCCATATAAACTCCGTCCCTTCTCCCATTCTATCATCCCCTTAATTTCCAACCTTATCTGTATCCAACAATTTTCTTTCCAATTACACAAAAACTCAACATCCATTACAGATAAGAAAACATAGGTGATACAAAGAGATTACAATACTAAATTCATACAGTATCATTTTACTCATAAATAACTACTCTTTTCCTTTGGGTATACAGCCTTTCAGAAATTTTAATGCATGTAAATATTTTACACCTCTCAAAAATGGGATATACTGAGTATACAGTCATGTAACCACCTTTCCCACTTAAGATTATACACTGAATTTTTCCATGTAAATAAATGTAGATGTCCATCAATATTTTCAACAGCTGCAGAATACCTAAATGTATAGACGTCCCTTAATTTGTCAGCCAACTGCCTATTTTGAAACACTGGGGTCATTTACAATTTTTCACCCTCCAAAACACTTTGAAGATGCACAGCTTTGTACAAGCCAACTATTTGATTATTTCCTAAGGATAAATTTCTACCAGTGGAATTGCCAGGTCAAAGGGTATGCACATCTTGAAGGCTTCTGAAGCCTGTATCCCAATGGACCTCGTACTAACGTACACTCCCTCCAGCAGTTTGAGAGTGCCCCGCCCCCAACACCCTCACCACCCTCATCAACACTATGGGGTGGGAGAGAGGATCGTCTCCCATGTGGATCCCAACAGCACTCTCGATGGTTCCATAAAGGCCTCACCTTAACCAACCTTATAAAAGAAATCTGATATAAGCATGAAAGCTTATTCTTTCTTCTACTATATTTTCTTGTTATTTCAAAGTAGTAACTATTTGATTCACTTACATAGACACCAAGATCGACCAAGGAGGAGGATGTTTTCTTATCAAATGCCCCCAGACCGCTAAAATAAAATTGGCCCTCCCTGTATGTCCCCAGAATAGATCCCAGCACTTATTGGTTCAAAGGGTCTCTCACTTCCATCCTCTCCTTACCATTCCCACGGCCACCAGTGAAATTTCACGCCTTTATCATCTCGTGCCTGGACTACTGTGGTCACTTCCTAACTCGTTTTCCAATCTCTAGTCACCACTCCTGTCCCTCCTCTGCTCTGACCCATCCTGCACACCAATCAACCACATTGTTTTCCTTTCATCTTGTCACTCCTCTGATCATGAAAGGCCCTGGTTTCTCCCAGGGTGGATTGGGTAATATTTAGACACCCCAGTTTAGCAGTTGGGGCTGCCCCACAGTGGGGACTCAGCCCTACTTCCCTACTCTATCTGCCATCACTCCCCTCCCACTTTCCACTCCAGGCAGGCCATCCTCCTCTCTGGAGCAGGAATCCTACCTCCAGCATTCCTCCCTCCTTCAATGACCTTCTGACCTTTTGGTATCATATCCTTCGAGCCCAGCTTACTTAAGTGTCCCCCTCCTCTGTAAAACTTTCCCCGAGCACTGTAGCATGCAGCTCTGCCACCTCTAAGCACTAATGGAAAGCATCTGACCATGATTGGTGGCTCTGAGTTTTGTTACTATTAATATCTCTTTGTTTCCATATATTTTGCCTTTCCAAACAGATCATAAACTCAAGAACAAGGACAATGTCTTTTTTTCTGCTGCTGAAAACACAACTTTATTGATGAAACACAGTCTTAGATTAACAAATGTAAACCGATACAAAAGTATAGCTTATTTATGATGTATAATTAGTTCACCGTCAGTTTAGGTAGAGGAAAGAGTAAAAATATCTCAATCTAAGTAGCAAGATCAAATCAATAAACCTTTCTTTGTACAAGTTCTGATATTCATTTGGCATCCTTAAAATGGTCCAGCTTAAACCCGACCATCACAATCAGCATCAATCACTGCTGATGATCTGTGATGTTCATTATTCCAAAATAGTAGCTGAAAGGATCTCTTTGCCACATAAACACAGTGAAAAACAAAAATTTACAAAACACATTGTTCACAAGTTCAAGCTAAAAAGTTGCCTCAACACTGTTTGGGATAGACTCCCAATTAGAGTTTGGTTAATACTTTTAGGACCTTTACTTTCACCACCAGATCATTGTGACTCGCTAATGCTTTAATTTTCTTAACACAAACTCCAGATTCTTTGAATAAGAAAAAAAGTGAACTTCTGCTGAATTCTTTCCTGGATGATGCAAGCCCTTCACTTTTTATGTTGTCATTTATATTCTCAAATAGAGTAAGGATATTAAGAAGAATCTCTCTATCCCATTCTTTATTAAAGAGGGAAATCAATTCTGATGGTACTTTACAACTGACCAGCTCCCTTGTCATAGCTGGATTTTCAGTGAAGTTTATAATTAGTTTCATAATCTGTATCTTGGTGAAGTGATTTCCCAGGAATAGCAAAGCAAAAAAGTCTGGAAAAGAATAGGAAAGCAAATGTTGGTAATGATTAGTCACAGTCATGTTGGTTAACAGTCTTAATCCAGCCATCTGCACAGCTGAGTCCAAACGACAGACCATGGTGTCATCACACACTTGACTGATATACGTCTTAATTTTGCCCTGATTTTCAGCGCTCACACTCAAGTTATTAAGGGCATTGTAAGTCTTTTCCCTAATAATAGGGTCTTTGGTTTTTATAAGTTTTGCAATAATTGGGACACCACCCAATTCACGTATGGCATTTTGGTTAAATGAATATGCTGCATTGTTACCCAGAGTGATCAAGGCTACTTCTTGAATAAAAGGATCGTTTGTTCTCTCCAGGATGTTAAGGACCTTTTGAAGGTCTGGAGCACTCAGAATATCATCAATTTTATAGGGAAAGTTGAACTTGGCCCTGCGGACAGGCCATGTTGTAGGTAGAGCCTTGGTGCTCTTACTTCGGGTCTTTCCCTTGGATTTTCCACTTGCCTTGCTTCCAGCCCTAGCCCCACTCCTGGTGGGGTGGCAGCCTCCACCCCTGCCTCCTGGGCAAGGTAAACTCGGTGCAAGGGTCCTGTTCCCAGAGATAGTACCCACCCTGGTCCCTTTGCCTGCCTTTGCACTTGCCTGTTCCTTCAGGGTGTTGAAAAGGGCCTTGGCCTTGGCTTCTAGGCCACCTCCACTCTGGGATGCCAAATGGGACTCCATTTTTACACCTGGACCACTCTGCAGTCCCAAACTCACCTCAGCTTTGGCCTTTGAGGAACCCTGAACTTTGGCCCCAGACCCTGCCCCAATGTTAGCCTTAGCTCTTTTTCCAGTCTCAATCCCAGTCTCTGACGTATCACTGGACTCCTCCTCTTCATCCCAGATTTTTTCGTTCTCGTCTCTTCCCCAGGTCAGTTTGTATACGCAGTAGCAGGCACCAGCCCCGATGACCACGCCGGCGGCCACACAGCCAGCTTCCCGAGTGCGGCCCATGGTAAAGTCAGGGAGAATCTCTTAACCTGGTCACAGAACAGCCTTGCTCTGGCCCAGAGCGGGGCGGAGTCTTCAGCTACTGGCTGGCTTTCCGGCGGCAGAGACAACAAGACCTAGGAATAAAGGAAAGATTTCAGGCTTCGGGCTCCTCCTCCTTTTGTGCCTTTGCATGCAGAAAGACTGACAAACGTACAAAAATACAGGGATATTGGCAGGGACTCGAGGCTTGATATCTGGATCACTGATCCCTTTCCTCCATCGGGAAGCTAATTTTGGAAATTCTTCCCACCTCTAGATTTCCCTTAAGTTCCCCTGCCCCACTCCGCAACGTTAAATTTAAAGTATCTGATCAATTCCCTACCACTCCTGCCCTTCAGATGTCCTGGGGGCAATGGCTCCCTCACACACACCCACAGAGGTCCAGGCGGTTTCTGAGTCCTGCAAACCTGCAGACAACGGGGTGGGGAGGCGGGTACTGAGCGCTCAGGGGACAGATGGACCTCACCCGGACAGGGCAGGGTCCCTCTTCTGAATCCCTAGCCCTTGTCCTGCGTTGCCCAAAGTTCCCCACCTTCCGTTACCCGTCTCCTCACAGAGCTGCGGCTTTGAAATTCATTATCTCCCTCCCCCTCCTCCTTTTATGATCCTCTCCTCCAACCCTCCACCTCACCCCCTCCACCCCCCGCCGTCTGTCACATCCTCTGAAGGTGACGCCACACCCACTTCCTTGTAACAAAATCGACAGTGGTGAAGTGAGAGTATCTAGAAGCCGGACAGCCGTGAAGTGCGTGAAAGTCTCTAACTCCGCCCTTACCTCTGCCACCCCCACCATCTCAAAGGGACCAGGACAACCGCCCTCCAACTATACCAACTTCCACCGCTCGGGAGCAATTTCCTTCCTCCCACTTCTCGGTTTCCGCCTCCGCCAAACCTAAGGACTGACAAACTCTGCAACTGAGTGCTTGGTGGACAGACCGACACCAAGGACACCGCACCCCAAACAGTAATTTGGAGTAACTTCCTCCCCGCCCCCACCCAGGACTCTCTTGACACCCACCCCCTCCCAGCCACTTTCCTCCCTGTCTAGTACCTGAAGAGCACTTTCTTTTGCAAGCTCCGAAATGGTGTAGAGAGAGGAAGGAAGGAAGGAGGAGGAGGAGGAGGAGGTCCATGGACCCACTGGATTTTGCTGTCGCCATCATTTTCCACCTCAGGGGTCCCCAAACCGTGCCATCACCCTCACTCTCACCTTCTTGGTTCTGGACGATTTTCCTCTTCTTCCTGCTCCTAGGGTTGGATTGGCCTTCAGGCACAAGATTCACAGACACAGGCGACACGGCAGAGATAAATGGCTCAGCGAACAGCACTTCGGAGAGTCCCAATACCAGCTTTTCCTAATTCAGGGTCCTGGTTGTCAAATGGATTTTACCTTTTGTCTCTCACCCTACCCCCACTTCTCTGACTCCGCTGACACCAGCCCTCCGGCTACGCGGCATCCAGCCCCCTCCCGTCCCCACCCCACCCTCCCCCCAGCGGTCGGCCATTTTCCCAGCAAAACCACACCCCTTGGTAATCGCTGGAGGGAGGGCGCAGCGAGGGCCTATGGAAAACCCGAGGAAGGAAAGAAGACCAAACAATCTCTTCTGTCCCTCTCCCCAGCGCACCCTACCCCCAATAACAACTGTTTTTCCTGTAAGCGCTGTTACATCCTTTTTCCTGCAAAGAATGGCAGGGAGTTTGCTGGAGAGTCATTAACCGGTCCAAGTTAAGGCGAGGACCTCAGCCAACCCCACCCTTCCGGGGACCGCGGGGCAATTCCAGCTTTACACAGACTGACCTGCAGGGATTCGAGGCAGATTATTCCTCTGCTCCAAATGGCATAACGCTCTACGGAAAGACAAGGGGGATGCCAGTCAAACGCACAACCGCAGGATTCTGGCTTGGTAGATGGATCTGCACACAAGACGCGAATCCTAATTAATACCTGCCCTCCCCGATTTAAGACCCTGGATGCCGAAGGGGTTTCCCCCGCCCCCTCCCTAGTCTGGGATCTCCTCTGAAATCCGGCCCCAAGGGGCCACCATTTTTGTTCTAGGAAGGGCCAGGGAGAATGCAAGGGTGTGGAGAAAGCGGGCTGGGTCCCCCTTCGGCCTCCATGCTCCGCTGCCCGCACCGCAGGGATCCCCAGGCAGCGCCCATCCACACACAGACCTGCTGGGATCCAGGCATATACCTCCTCCACCTTCCCCCCGGCCACGGGCCCGCCCTCTGGGCAACAGGGAGAGGGCAACCCGACCAAACGAAGACCAGGATTAGAAGGACATCTGCACACGTCGGCTCCTGCTCACGTGAGGGCCACGTCACCCGTGAGATCAGGACCCCAATTACCACTCCCACCAGCAGTGCGGCAGGAGCCGGCCCTCCCCTTTCCTTCCCTGCCACACCAGGTCCTGCCACTCACTTTCCCTTTTGCCAATCCCGGAGACCAGAAGTGGCTTCTTCTTGGGGTTGGAATTTGTCTGTCTTTAGTTAACAGGGAGACACTGCATCTGTTCCCATGTCCACTGGCTTTTCCTTCTTCTTTAGGGAATAATTTTTCCTCTTCCCTACTCCCAGTGCAACTGCCTTTCGCTTCACCGCCCATCCCTCCCAGGCTTGAAGTTTCAACATTTCCTCTGCACCCCTGTACCAAATGAGGGGCTGGATCTCAGAAAAGGACAGAGGTAGTGGGAGTGTCTTGCTTCAACTTTTCTGTTCACTTTTTAAAAATCAGTAATACATTACTTTTATATTGAGAAAATGAAGTGATGCTATTTTCACTTGACTGGAGAAGAATTTCAGTGGGAGGGAAAAGCCCAAAAGGCCTCATTAATTTCCTTATATATATTTGTAACACAAGGAAAATGTTTCTACTGGTTATAGCCAAATAACAGCTTTCAAAACATAGTAATTTGTTTTAAAACTGAAAACTGGAATTTTTTACATGATCTGTGAATTAGTCCACGAAGAGAGGACCAACCAGTTGTCTAATTCTGGCCATTTTACACAAACGATCCATTACTTTTTCTACTTTTGAATCAACTTCCAATTTGATCAAATAAAAGCAACACAATCCTGTCTTGTTCAATTAAATAAAAACATTTATTTAATGTCCCAAAGTCTTGGCTGTCTGTTGTGCGAGCCTCTTGTGATTTGATGGCTACTCTGAACACCTGCTCCTGGATTGGATTCCAGACTATTAAGGCTGAGGCAGCTGAGGCACAGAGATGGTCTCATCCTGCCTGCCCTGTCAAAAGCGAGGGAAAGTGCTACCCTCCCGCCCCTCCCACATTCCAGAGCCTCTCACCCGCTGCATTCAGGCACCAACCTCAGTAAATACCTTTGGCTCTATGCCTTCCTCCCCCAAATTCCCACATCGCCAAGAGGTAACTCAGCAATGCACAGTAGGGATTACAGTTCCCACCTACCCCTCTGCCCTTCTTCACCGTGAGTGGCGGGGTCAACGTTGCTCCTACCACTGTGTGGTGCCACCACCTGCCCCGAGAAGTGCAGCCTGCTGGGCCTCTCACCTCTGGCTTCTTTAACTCTGGGACACACAGGGAGAACCTAACCTTTGGGTTTTTTAAGTATACATACATAATATCTGCAAATGACGATTTTTCATTTCTTCTTTTCCATATTTATATCTCTTATTCTTTCATTTTCTCCACATACTGTATTGACCAGAACCTCCTGAACTACACTGAAAAATACTGGTAATTCCGCACAGGCAGCTCTCCGCAAAAACAGAAAAAAAAAATAGTGGTGATTGAAGTAAATGGGAACGCCCTTAATATTAATATTTCACCATTTAGCGTGACATGACATTTGCTGTTTGTTTCTGATGTGTTCTTCTTCACCTGTGTATGTGTGATTTTGGGGGGACACCTAAAGCTGTACATTCATACCCTTTATGTTAGACTGAGAAAAATTTAATAGCCCACATCATAATATTGGGAGGGGGAGGGGAGCAGGGAGATCTGCCACAGTGCTGAGCTTATTGGGAATATATTGGTGAGCAAAAACAGACACAGACTGTGCTCTCACAGTGGAAATAAGACCCTAAAGAAATAAGCACACATACACACAAACTGAGAAAAATACTGCACTTAATAGAGTAAAGGAAGTGGCGTAGTCTGGGGATCAGGGAAGGCTTCCTTGCTGAAGCAGAGTGAGTAAAATTTTGAGCTGAGATGAAGGAAAACAGGTGTTAACCAGGAAAGAGGGGGGCGGAAAATAAAAATGTCTCAATTTCCTCACCCCTCCAATAATTACTGTGATAACCAATCCACTGCAATCCTAGGATAAATCCTATGAAAATCACTGATAACTTATCAGTTGATTCCTTCCAGGTTTTGTTGTTGTTTCATATATATCAACAAAAATACCTATGTAGATACATTATATGTGTGTGTACACATATTTCTTTCTAAAATAATTTGAGATTATACTATATGTATTATTCTGTAAAACATTTTTTCCTAATATGTCACATACATCTTTTTATCAGATACACTAATACTCTGTAGTGAGGATTTGCCAGAATTTAATCAATCTATTACTGATTGATATTTAGCCTCTTCCCAATCTTTATCTATACAAAAATGCTGCAATGAAGACTTTTGTATACCTATATTTTGACAATTGTAGTATTATTTCCTTAGGATAAACTAGAAGTAAAATCACTGTATCAAAGTGGATGTTCATTTTATTTTTATTTCAGAATATTATGGGAGTACAAACATTTTGGTTACATGTTATGACTTTGCTACATTCAAACCATGATTTGAGGAGTGCCCTGTTCCCCCCTACAATGCTCACCGCATCCATTAGTTGTGAGTTTACCCACCCCCAATCCCCCAACCCCAAAAGAATATTACTACTGTGTGAACATCTTAGTGTCAATCACTCAGTGCCAATTTGATGGCGAGGACATGTGGTGCCTATTCTTCCGTTCTTGTGATACCTCACTTCGGAGGATGGGCTCAAGCTCTATCCAGGAAAATATAAGAGGTGCTAGATCACCATCGTTTTTTATAACATGGATGTTCATTTTAAATTTTATCCATTCTGCCAACTTTCACCTCTTAAATTTTGATATATATATACATATATATATCTATGTTCTATGTCGTGCTCCAAAATTTTTAATTTTTTTCATTGTAAGTAAGATTAAGCATCTTCTTAACCATTAGTATGTCTTTCTGTGAACTGCTCTTCCTCATTTTTTCACTAAATTGTTCATCTTTCTCTTATTAATACATAAGAACTTTCTGTAAATTAAGTAAGTCCTTTGTCATAGGTGTTATAAATATTTTCCTGATTTATAATCTTCTTTGGACTTCTATTATACAGAATTTTTTCGTATTTACAGTATAAAATTTATCAACTCTTTTCTTTACATTTTTTGGGGTTTGTGTCAGCTTAAGAAGACTTCTATTTTCTTTTTCTTTTCTTTTTTTTTCTTTTTTGAGATAGAGTCTCACTCTGTTGTCTGGGCTAGAGTGCAGTGGTGTCATTCTAGCTCACAGCAACCTCAAACTCCTGGGCTCAAATGATCCTCCTGCCTCAGCCTCCAGAGTATCTGGGACTACTGGCGTGCACCACCACGCCCGGATAATTTTT